TGTACAGGGTTTTATATCGGGCGCTATTTTTATTTTGGAAGGGAGCGGAGTTTGTTAAAAGGACGCTTTAGGGAATCTCTGTTCATGTGATTTAGAAAAGAATTAATGGGTGATCTGATATACTCGTTAAATATTTACGAGTCCAACTCGGCGCGCGTCCTGGGAGGTTATAAACCTACAAGAAAGAAACTTTTTTATATATTCTTATTTGCTCTAAGCAGAGCCCTCTCACTTGAAGTAGCGCGCAGTACGCGTAGACACATGGCTATGTGAATATTTTTATATATAAGGTTTCCGATGGTCTAGTCGTAGAGTGTGCGAAGATCTGTCCAATATCTTGACTCACGCTGCAACCCCTTTTGATCGCGCGCCTACCGGCCGACGTGTAGCAACCAATAATAGAGAAAAGTTATGTTTTACTTTGATCAGACAATTTGTGGCGGAAATAGTTATAAAGAGGGTAAGTGTGGAATGTATGCATGATGCATGAAGCTCATCTTGATCAATGGAATTCGAACCCTGAACCTATTGCGCAGGAGGGAAAAATTTTAACCACTAGGCCACCTAGCCTCAAATATTGAGCTGTATTTAATTTTTATTTTACAATAGGGCATAAAACGGGCAGAATTGAGACTCTTACCAGGTTATTATTATATTAAGGATCATGTGAACCATACAGCTTTCCCCACACATAACACTTTTTCTTATAAAGGCCAGGTAAAACAACTATCAGAAGGGCACTGCATGAATCACAATAAACTTTCGAACATGATATGCAAGCACTGTTCTACTAACGACGAGGAGCCACTCAATCTACTTTTGGCTCCTCATCGTTAGTTTAAGATATTATTAACACATCATACAAATTGGTGCAATGAGCTCCTACTCTTCCTTTATAGTCCTTACACGTTTAACAGGCATGTGTCAATGATGATTTTTTGTTAGTCGGCTGACATCTTGGGTTGTACTGGATGTAACAAGTTTATTATCGGATGTCTACGTATATTTATTATGATATAATTATTCATTGTGATGGCAATAAAATTTAAATTTTGTTTTACTTTAAAAAAAAAAAATTTGTTTTACTCAAGATAGGTTGGCTTTCACCACTCCTTAGTATGTACCCCAATCATTTCCCATCTAGCCTCCGCGATTCTCTCAGTCATTGATCTTACTTTAAACCGTTTATAAACTTGTATAAATACAAGTTCTCGTTACTGTCTAAGATGTTTTCTCTGAAGGATGTCTAGAGCTTTCTTAGGGGGCCGTCCAGTAGCTACAGTAATGATTTGATTTGAAACTTGTACAAAATAGAAAGTATACACATGTACAGCAAATCGAACAAAGATAGTGCTGACGACACTAATATATTTGTTGCAGCCGACTCAAAGGATAAGGTATATGACATGGCTAACAAAATACTGCAGGCTGTTAATAAGTACATGATAGTAAACCTACTACACATTAATGTAAAAAAGTGCTGTTACATGTACTTCTCTTCAAATAAACGTAACAATAATGAATTAGACGCTGATATAGATAGCTATTACCTATCCATGAATAAAAAGGTAATCAAGCGTGTTAGTCAAACTAAATTCCTTGGAGTAATTATTGATGACAAATTAAGTTGGAAACCACACATACAATCTCTTAACAAAAAACTAAGCAGTGCTTGTGGACGTATCTACCGTATTAAGAAATGCTTACCAGAATCACTATATAAACAAATTTACCATTCTCTCTTTGAATCACATCTCAGTTTTGCTATTTCTGTCTGGGGAGGTATTCCTAATATCCAGTTAAAACCACTATTTATTACCCAGAAGAAATGTATAAGAATTCTATTCGGAGACCATAAAAGGTATGTAGACAAATTCAAAACATGTGCTAGAGTTAGACCGTTTGGCTCCCAACGTTTGGGTTGCGATTTTTATGTTAAGGAGTCTACCAAACCTCTATTTGCAAAACATAAATTACTAGCTGTAGAGAACCTATATAGACTACGTTGCCTAATGGAATTTTTTTAAGATAATTAAGACAAGAGTACCAATTTCAATGTTCTCTTTGTTCACCATATCTCATAGGAAAGACAATATGTTAATCACACCTTCTCCAACTAAACAATTCATCTATAAATCAGCGTGGCTGTGGAATGAGTTTTGTAAAATTGGCTCATTTAATTTTAATTCCTCTTGTTCTTCTGTTAAGAATAAATTACAAAAGTCATTGATGAATGCCCAAAACAGGTATGGTGCTGAATGGAATGACAAAAATTTCACTGAATTCTAAGTTAAACACAATATAATCCAGGTATCGGCAGGCGCTGCCGCCAAACGTCATTATCATGGATATACTTCTTTATTTTCAGCAGCTAGTATGTTAGCGCGCATAACAAGGCGCGCTAGCATTTTACCGCCATTCTAGGTTTCACTGATTTCTGGGCCACAATACACAATATGTCCAATCTGATTCTAATTGTTGCTCCTAATCTGATAATTCTAATGACAGTGACTGCTCCCTATTAACAAACCGACCAACATTTTCGGTCAAACCCTAAAATTACTAATACCAAATTCAAACCCCACATATGCGTGTATAGTCTCCAAATCTTCTCTTATCTCTGCTCTCGGACTTTGTTCTTTTGAATAGAACTGTTTGTATACTTTAACAAATAGTGATTTTAACTTTGAGATAAACTGCTATATTATTATATTTTTGTACCAATGTTCACCTAACTTAACGTCTCTCGCTGACACCATCACCCGGCAACCAATTTTAAAGTAAAATTTATTAACTGTCTGACTACAGACTGGCGGTTAACGTTCCCCGTATAGTAGCTCAACGGAGGGGGTAATCAGGGCACGTGTTAATGAAAAATGTACGTGTCCTTCCACAATCCCTTCTGTTGGGTCACACGTTATTGGGAACTGAGATCGCTATCGTGTAACTAGAAGCAGTATATGCAAAGTAACTTTGGTGATAGGTGATAGGCAATATGAAAATACACATCTTACTTTAACTTTATCCCGTCACCCATGGACTTATTAATTAACAGCTGGTGTTGGTGTCATCGTTTGTCGTACTCAAAACGTTTCGCGGTTGCGAATGCCGGCCCATCGAGGAAAATCTTTTTACTTTGTATTTTAACCATTATAAAGTATGATTAGTCGGATATAGTACTGAGTTCAAACAGTCCCCGAAACGAAAAAGCGAACATTTGATTTTTGTTTCGGCGACTGAATCGTTGATGGGCCGGCAAATATTTGTTGTCGAGTAGTGTTGAATACTCATATTAACATGATTATTGATTTAATTTAGGAATTGTATATAACTATCATTGACCAAGTTTAATTGTTAATGAGAATGCACCCCAGCACTGGGCGCGCGTGGCGGCTTTGATGTTAGCGGCTACAAGCTTGAAGCTAGGCAGCTGCAGAAAAGGCGCCGCGCGCGTTCACAGTTCAGCGTACGGCTTTTCGTTTTTGATTTTACAAATGACAAAGCAACTTTTAATGATTATTAATGGAATTATCGGATATTTATAATTCAATATGTATTGATTCTTCTGTGGAAAATAAAAATTGTATTTTACTAGTACTATAAAATTGGCCAATATGTATAAATGCTAAAAATCGTGGGTCAGTGAAACAAGTAAAGAGGACAACTTTCAGAACAGGATTTTTTTGACCGCCCAAAGTCTCTATGACATCACCTTCACCTAGTAATAAAATGATGAAATGTGATAAGTGTGAAACAATAAAATAATAATGTGTGTATTATTTAATATAATTGTCTCTCAAATACAGACAATGTCCAAAAACTCTTAAGATACTCCTACATATACTGATCGGTGTCCAAGAGACATGAATTACTTCATGGTGGCTTCTTAACACGGCTACAGACCTTCCCATTACGGATGTAGTGGTCGATATGAGTCTGTTTAGCCCTCTTCTTCTTCAGTTCAGTTACCAGGTTCTTCCTTGCTGCACGCTCTTCACTGGATCTATCAGGACAAATCCATACATCTATGTGTGCCTCAGCTAGCCTCAGTCTCCCTGTTTTCATCAAAATCTGATGAACTGCTGTTGAGCTTGGGACGGTGATCTTGACTGGTCAGATCGTTGTACCTGGCCTCTTCCAGCCGACTCTTGTTGCTTTGAAATGACATTTCCCCATCTCCTCAAATACTGCGGTTACCAGAGCTGGAAGCTGTTCTTCATCCTCTTTTTTCAGCCCAAACACTATCTGATTCTTGCTCCTGTCCTCCCCTGCAGCCACACTCTTCATCGCATTCTTCAGAATTTTACTGTTGCAGACCTTACCACTTGTGCTGTTCTTTTGTACAGCTGCACTGTAGCCTGATCACCTTGTCCTTGTCTGCTAGCGCTGCCGTCTTGAGGCACTCAATGATTTCCATCATAGTGCTCATCTGCCTACTCTGCCACCGTACAAGGTCTGCTCCTTCAATAACCCAGTCTGCCATATACCTTTTATAAGTAGACGGAGCCATTAATACTTCTTTGTCCATATCTTCATGAATGTCGACGTCGTCTATTTTCAGTTCTTTTGCCATCGTAGTGAACCATCTATCAATACAGCCCTCTGCATCTTCCTTTTTCTTCATAATTGAAATCCTTGATTTTCTTCTGAGATCGGGTCAAATTCAGATCATCCTCCATGGTGTACTTGTATAGTAATGTACAAGTACACACAAAGGCTAACTATGCAGTAGCAGCAAACTGAACTTATCGTTAAGTTAAAAAAGATAAGAGAGCTCGATAATTGCAACGTAAGCTTCACTGACTACACACTGGACAGATGTTACATAGTACTATGTGTATTTAAATCACCACCAAATGCAATATTGGTTATAATAAATCGCATTTCTTGCCAAACATGAGCTAATTAAGATAATTAAGATAAGATAATCGGTTTACCAAGTGTACTCTGCATGGTATAAAGGAGTTTTACTGTATTCATGATTGTGAATTTATTTCAATATTTTTTAGGGTAGAATGAAGTTGATGGTGTTATTGGTTCTGTTAGGTTCCACTAGGTCAAATTATGTGGAAATGTGCTGCACATTCACAGGTATGTTGTCATTATCGCTAATATATTATATACAACTTGATGTTATATTTCTGATAATGATGTTTAAAAACTGAGACGTAGAAATGGACTCTCACAACTGAGACGTAGAATGGACTCTCACATTCAAAATGTATTCCATCTTTAATACATACACTGTAGCAGTTGTACAATTCTGTTTTAATGATGAATGCAGTTTTTCTTTCATCCTTCAAAAGGCGAATTCCTTCTGCACATTTTATCTAACCTTAACATTTCTACTTACATTTCAAGTGAACTATCATAAAATGGCATAAAATATTTTTCAGCTGCACTGCAGAAAGACATTGCAACGATTTCCACCATGTTTGATTCTGTTGACCATACGCTTGTAATGGTAATTCAAATGATTCTGGTTTAAGATTGATTCTGATCAGAGCAAAGCTATATCGAGAATTATCATAATTTTTATTGTACACAGTGGATAAATTGAGAGAATGTATAAGATTATGTGTGTAGAATGCAAATAATCATGTGTTTGAAATAACAATAATAATTAGTTTCTCCTAATGACAGGGGTGCAGTGTTAAGCAGACTTCTAAATGTGCTTGTTTTGAAAATACGTGGGGCTGTCAAAAGGTTACTGTTACTCAGCTGCAACCAGAAAGGTAAAGTTGTACAACCACAAACAGTTGTACAACCACAAGTTCTACACGCCTGAAATGAAAACACGACTGTCACATGTACTACATTATTCACCTTTCACCGTTACTGATACAATGTAACTTTACTTACTACATTGTAGGGAAAATTGATCGTGCAACCGGGCAAAATTCTTGTTAAAAAATTAATTAACATTTTGTTCCAGGTTTACCTTTGAAGTTGAAAATGGAAGTCCTGCTAGCATTTTCGATAATGTGATGAGGTAATGTTATGTGATTTGTTTTGTTCGTAATGATTTAACTACATTGTTTTTATTCTCATAGCATAGTCGACCTATTAAAAGTATTATATGATAACTTTCCTTATTAATATTGAAAACAAATTCCAATGGGTCCACACTGTGTATGAAGTTAGATCTTTATGTAGCGGACATGACAAGGACAAAAGTCAAACGCGGTATGTGCAGAATCACGAATATTCCCATTCTCCACGACAAATCTCAAATATCTCAGTTTTCCGCAACAAATAATGGCTAATAATGATAGATCTGTGCCATTACCAATTGTTTTCTTTGATTTCTACCGTTAAATAAATTCCAATTTTAATCCGTACAAAATTACCTTCACACCATGTTTCCAGGGAGTTGCACCGACCCTCACGACCGCAGGAAAAAGAGACGCTTCACACTTACTTTTGTGAGGGTACTGTGGGGACACCTTACGTCTGGTCCCTTGTAACTAGTGGCCTCACCACCTGGAGCAACAAGAAATGGTGTTTTAGGTAGGAATGTGGTGTTTTAGGTAGGAATGTGGTGTTTTAGGTAGGAATGTGGTGTTTTAGGTAGGAATGTGGTGTTTTAGGTAGGAATGTGGTGTTTTAGGTAGGAATGTGGTGTTTTAGGTAGGAATGTGGTGTTTTAGATAGGAATGTGGTGTTTTAGGTAGGAATGTGGTGTTTTAGGTAGGAATGTGGTGTTTTAGGTAGGAATGTGGTGTTTTAGGTAGGAATGTGGTGTTTTAGGTAGGAATGTGGTGTTTTAGGTAGGAATGTGGTGTTTTAGGTAGGAATGTGGTGTTTTAGGTAGGAATGTGGTGTTTTAGGTAGGAATGTGGTGTTTTAGGTAGGAATGTGGTGTTTTAGGTAGGAATGTGGTGTTTTAGGTAGGAATGTGGTGTTTTAGGTAGGAATGTGGTGTTTTAGGTAGGAATGTGGTGTTTTAGGTAGGAATGTGGTGTTTTAGGTAGGAATGTGGTGTTTTAGGTAGGAATGTGGTGTTTTAGGTAGGAATGTGGTGTTTTAGGTAGGAATGTGGTGTTTTAGATAGGAATGTGTTGTTTTAGATAGGAATGGGTTTACGAGGGACTGTGTTTAATTCAGTCAAAATAAACACATTATATGTTTACAAATTATAAACTAGAAAGCAAATTAAATGGTCTGAAAATTAAACAATAAAGCTCAAATGTACATGATAATAATGTAACTGATTTATGATCTTAATTAATTAATTGAATAATTAATCAATTAATCAAACCATATGTCCCAGCAAGGAGAACAAGCACGAATTACGTGTAAAACACAACATGGTTATAAGCGTGTCTGCTTTCAACTCTGCTCTCAAACATGCTATCCACAACTTTAACCTGGAGCCGGAAGTTGTATATCAAGAGGAGTTCATGGTTAGTTGAAGATTAAACTTAGCTTTAATCTGAGGAGATTGTTGAAACTTCTTAAAATATTCTCAAAGTTTCAAAGTTCATAAATGAAATTACAAAAATATCAACACCCGAAATTTCACTTTTATTCAGGACCACCTTCTCGTTTTTACAATTAAATAAATAATGAAATTATGGCAGGATGATATAATTAGTGTGGACATCACAACTACAAGCGACCTTGCCTTTAACAAATTGTCTGATAAGCTGAAGACTTTGTTCAAAGAGGTCCACGCCAATTACAAACCTTATGCTCCATCAGGTGACTTGTTATCTTAAAATTGATGATTTCGTTTTTGTTGCAAGTGTTCGGCTAGAAAACAGCTAGGAGTATGAATTTTTAATGTAAAAATTGAATTATTTTACAGCATTTTCTTGTCTTGATTCCTATTTTGTTATCAGACACATAGAATATAGATAAGAGTTTTGCAATATTATTTACTTAACAAGACGTGTATAATCAAATCAACAACAAAAAACATAATGATGTAATCATTATGTATAGTAAGATCATCACAAATATTCATAAAAATATCTGAATAATTTAAATTGCACCCCAGATAAGTTTCAACTACAGATGGAGGAGGTGGTAATGGCATTTGAGAACTTCAAGTGTCGAACCTACGACTACAGGGACTGCTTGAAAATACTGAAACTTTACCAAGAGGTTTAATTAGTATCCCAATTTAGTACCGTAATTTATTATCCTAATATATAATTATCCTAATCATCACGTCCTCCCACATATCCTTTTATGATTGACTCTTTTCCACTATACTATTGCTGATTAGTGTATGCTTCAAGTGCAGGATTTTGGTTGATATTTCAAATTATTACAATGTCTCTTAAAATTACATCATAATCATATTATATTTAAGAATTTTACAAAGTTCTCAAATTTTAATAGTGCTGGATTAACCCGTTTATTCCCCATTCTCAAAATGTGCACTGTTCCCCTCCCACTAACAACTAATTTTCAGGGATCAGCCCCGAAAACTCTATTCCATCTTTCTGCCGATCTACAAGGTAACTCCTAATTTACATTTTTCAGTCACATAAAAATGGTTATTATCTTATGACTCGTAATCAAAAATGTGTGCTGCTGTAAAATATGATGTGATGATAACTGATTAACTACAGACAAATTGGGTCTAATTAACAATTATTATGTTATCAGATTTATTCATGACAGTAACTAGCACACCTGCTGTTCTGCTCGTCTACACTCCCAGTCACTACGATGAAACTCAGGTATAGTATATACACTGGTTACCATGACAACTACATTGGTTACCATGACAACTACACTGATTACCACGACAACTACACTGGTTACCATGACAACTACACTGGTTACCATGACAACTACATTGGTTACCACGACAACTACATTGGTAACTACCATGACAACTACACTCGTTACCATGGCAACTACACTGGTTACCTTGACAACTACCCTGGTAACCAATACCATGACAACTACTCTAGTTACCATGGAAACTACACTGGTTACCTTGACAACTACCCTGGTAACCAATACCACGACAACTACTCTGGTTACCATGACAACTTCACCCAGGAATTGTGTGTTTATCTGGATTCCTCCCTTGGACAAAGCACAATAGGAGAGTACTCAGTGGCTATGATGAGTGAAACTAAGCAATATAAAGCTGGGGTTTACTACATTCTCTATCCTAACAGTATAAAGGTTAGTTTTACTTAGTTTCAGTTATATTACATCAGAAATAAGTAGATTATTTTGTGTAAACCATCTCAGAAGTCTGATCATGTGAATAGTAAGTTTGGGTATAATTGAACATATTATTGAAATTTCAAATAATTTTGTAGCAATGGACCATTTTCGTTACCTGTGTATTGTGCTCTGCCAATTGCATAACTTGTTTTGATTGAATGTATCATTTTATAATTTATAAAACTGTAAATCATGCATGCATGTCTGATATCAATAAATTATTAAAAAAAAACGTATGTCCTAAAAATCAAAATACCGATTTTTTTCTGCACGCCCCTTTACTTTCAACTAAGTACACGGTAAATTGGGGTTTCTCTATGCATTGTAAACTTACCTTGGCCTTTGTCTCAAATATGTAACCTCTATGCAACATTTGGTTTGTATTTACTATTACACACTGTATCATCTTGGGCGCAATTCTTGTGTAATCTTTGTAGTTTTCCTACATGTGCTATCGATTATAACTTTTACGGTCTAATCGCACCGCCTGTACCAGACTATGATAAGCCCGCTATCGTGACCTCTGCACCGTTTAGGTACCCTAATATATGTTAGATTGTTCGTTACTGCCATGTTAATTTTGTGTGGTAACATGGTTTCTGCGGTCTGCCGGATGATTGATATTGAAGGCTTAATAATAGGAAACTAATCGATTCCATTAATCGGTCACAGTTGTTCGAATAAATAACGGTAACGCGCGGTAACAAATGTTTGAACAAAGTCAAATTTGTTATCCAATAAACCGCGCCGCGCGCACGGTACGCATTATTGTTCGTACAATTGACTGTCACCTCGTCCCTTATCCGACGATCATATGAAATTTATAATTTGCTTTTCCTTGTTACACGAATTTCTAATACACATTTCTAATTTCTAATACTTATCAGAAAATTTGGGCATTTCCATCGCTGCTTGCTATAACAAATAGGTATGTGCCACACAATGCAACATACTTACTTAATTTCTCTGGCATTGTGCCATGTAAATTGAATATCTGACTACTTTCAGTTTCATTATTATTACCTAGTTACATACCAGGAATGCAAGGAGGAAGTGTATCGATGTCTGAGTAAGAAATTTGGCGTCTATCTCCCTCCGGCAGCAGAGAATGCGCACAGAGCTGTTCCTGTTGTTTTTGGGGAGCAGTTCATCGATGAAGAAAACCATCATAGAGGTAACTTGTTGTTGCGCTGGTGTGTTTTCAGCTTTTCGACAGTCTGGATCTTGTGTGGAGACGGGAGTGTAACAATGAAATATACTAATGAGAGCTTTTCAGGTAATTTGAACAAAGCCTGGTTTTTCGAGCCACCAAAAGAGCTGAAGATGATCTACGACATCAAGGTTTTTATTGTACTTTCATCTGAATCTGTTCCTGGAGAAAAATGACTATAAAAATGTTTGCCCAAAAGTTTCAGCTGGACGGTTTTTTTAATGGTTCCTGGGACTATGAACAACACATTCCTGTAGACAAACCTTTGTTACGAATTTGTTCACAGATTGACCCATAAACAGCAATTCTTGCCCTAACTATTAAATGACATTCTAAATTACGAATAACGCCTATTTGGTTTTAAATAAAAATTGAATTTAACAATTCTCTTCATTTTTAGACGTTACTACAAGCGTCAGATTATGAACCAGTCCTGAAAAGTGACACAACATCATTACGGGTGTTAGACGAATCGGGGTATTACTCCTCAATCAGTGACAAACGCGGTCATTTCATTTTGTTCGTCTTCAGATGTAAGTCCCAATTTTACTTTTTTTAAACTTGTTTATTTCATTTTTAACCAGCGTTACATGTAATTGGAAACTATTTGCTAATATTTTAGAATTGGAAATTGAATTTATTTTCAGATGATAGAAATATCATTTATAACTTACCAACACGAATAATGTAATCTTTAAAACCTGTTTAAAATTGACAACTTCCAAAGCAACGTTGTCTGTGCACTTCTTTGAGAAATAAGATCAGAATGTTCCATTAGAGCATTTTTGAGTCCTCTTCGTCGCCACTATGAAGCATGAAACTTTTCCTATTTGAAATAGAGGGTCTTTTATCCCTTGTTTCCAACTCAGTGGTTTCAACATTCCTTGTTAGAAATGAAGTCCTTGTTAGAAATGAAAGTCTATTAGTTCTTGCTTCAGTCACTATGTTGACATATCCTGAATTCCTTAGAAATACAGTTATATCTTTTATCTTTCTTTGGAAAAATTTTCTGAAAAAGTCATCGTAAATGAGAGGATTGGAGACGGAGTTAAAGGGTAGGACTGTCATTGCGAAGTAAACATACCATTTAGAAGCATCGATAGCCTTCAGGTTGTGGAGGCCACTGATAACAATAAATGGTACCCAACACAGAAAATCTGTCACAATAATCATTGAAATTCTCTGCTGGAGCTTTTGGTTTTGTTTTAAAGTGTTTCGGTTGCGACCTTGCCCAACCTTCTTGGAGTATTTCCTCCGAGAGACGTTTAAGACTATATATGAAACTGTTATGATGATGAAACATATAAGGTTAACCGCAAGCATTAGCCACACTACCACATCTCCTTTACGATCTGTGATTCCAGCTCCAGTATCTGAATCCTGCCTGCTTCTCCGAGCATCGTCACTCCGAACAAAGTACTTGAACAAACAGACCCCGTCATTACCGTAAAAATGGACTGGGTATCTACTGAGAAGTCCATACTGATTGCTGAACATTCCGTTCACTTTCTCTCCTATTTCCTTCCACGTTATTTCTGTAGTAATATTGCTTGTATTGTAGTAAGCCTGAAGAACCTTGACATGTTTCACTTTATTTGGAAAACCCAAGAACAGTTTATACTCTGGATCATAAAACATGGCCTGAACAAAGTAGTCCTCAAGGGAATGTATCAGAGGTGTTACAGCCACAGCTAGTGAAGCTAACGAGATCCCCAACACTAAAATACCAGCGTAAATACTTGGTTTCCTATCAAGGTGACTGTTAGGCAGAGTCATGGACCTCCGGAATATCCCAGCCATTCTGACCACACTCAAGGTAGTCATAGCGAACAGAGATACTTGTGAACCCACAGTACTTATAATCCCTAACACGGAGCAAGCGGTCCCGGTTAACCACTCAGCTTGCTTCCCACAGTACTCATTTCCGAATATAATGCTGTCGTAGATAGACAACCCTATCAAGTATACACCGATAAGGAAATCACCACAACCTATCAGACCAACAAGTGCTTTATTGTACATAACGAGTGTACTGCTGGTTTTAGTTCTTAGCTCCAGAAGTGAGAGTATCTCCTTGTACACTGTCACTCCGTTCAGGAGAGCTGCTAAAATCCCCATAAACCAGCAAATAAACTTCAGTATCCAGTGATCAAGGATTTGCTTTCCACAAGTTAGATTACACTCGTCAGATAAATCAAAGCAGTCGTAGATACCATCACATTTCTGAGATAAAGATATGAGGTGTTCCTTGATACCGGGCTTATTCTCCGTGTTCTGGCACACCATATGGTTGGAACAGTTCCGCTCGTCTGACATGTCCCCACAATCATCAACCAGGTCACAGACCTTGCTGTACTGAACACATCTGCTGTTCTCACATTGGAAGTAGTTGTTGTCGTATTGCCCGGTCTGATCCATTGTGACAAAGGTTAAGTACGTGTTGTTAGCGAGTGTGTAGATCCGGTCAGGGAACTGACCCGGACATGAAGCAGAGTTTAGGGGGGTATTTGGGAGAGGACAGGTTGAGTTTAAGCACAGGTCCATACAACTCAAGAACACGTAATACTCGCCAAACAGGCGGCTACAGTCAACTTTGGAGGTTGGGATTTTGAGTTTCGTGGTAACACCAAAAACATCACCAGATTTGAATTCCTTAATGTGGCACACCGCATCATCGGGTACTTCTTCTGATTTGCATAAATCTCTCACTGAATTATTCCCCATCACCACCGTTGTGTTGATGTTTGGAAAATCTCGTGATGTGGTACACACCACATTTTCATTAGCGCAGGAATTCAGTCCGTCACACAAGTGATCAAACTCTACAAACCTCCCCTCCCCAGAACACATAAACACGTCCTGACACGTGTTATTTCCCAGTAAAACTCTATAAGTTCCCAGATCTCCTCTTCCACAGAACCTCCAGTGATCACTGTTCAGTTCATCTTCACCATTCGTACAATCAGTCTGATTATCCAATATCCACGAGACAGGTATTTCTAGATGCTTCTCCAAATTGAAAGTCCGGGTACACTGAAAATACCCAGCTGTGGTCCGGCTACAAATATCACGTGACTCATCACTGCCATCAGTGCAGTCCCTCACCCCATCACACAGTTTGTGTTTGTGGACCACACATTCTGTTGTCTCTGACGGTGAGACACACTCACTGTCCAACCCATCATCACACAGATTAACTGGACCGGTTATCAGGGCGCTGTCACAAACCACGTATTTAGATACAGTAGACATGAAACCGTTTATAAAGCAAAACCCACCCACTCTGGTGGGGTCCGTGCAGTTTGTTTGATCCTCAAAATGATAACAGTAAGGATACTGGTTAGTGTTAGTCAGATCAAATACACCGCACCTGGTGTAGTTTAGAATGGGAACGCTCCTGTTCATTCCAGCCATAGCTTTACGCCAGTAATGCAGACAAGTGGGTTGAATGGTGTTAGTGGTGTTGTTAGTGGTGTTGTTAGTGGTGTTGTTAATAATACCACAGTCCCTTTCATCCTCATTGTAATAACAAGTCTCATTGTCACCCCACCCGTCGCATATCCAGGGTAGGGGCACATACCCTCCGGAGCAGTTCACTCCGTACGAGTATCCGTTACAGTGACTCTCGTCTTCGCAGTGTGGTGAATCACACTTGTCGTCACACTCGGTGGATGTGTTACTGCCGGTAGTGATCCCGGCGACGCACTCCTGGTCACACTCCACGAAACGCACTTCTTCATTTGTGGTGCTGAAATATCCCCCACAGAGAAAAGTGGAGTTTGTTGTTATTTTGGTGGTGAACCCACATGCCTGGTAAACGTGTGGGTCACTGTTACACACAGTGGATACTGTGGAGAGCACGTGACTTTGAGTGGAACTGTCAAATACATCATCTTGTTCATAATAAACATTAGAATGAGCACACTTGTGATAGTACTGTCCAGTACTTTCATTGTAACACAAGTGCTTCAAGAATCCCCCAACATTAGTGATGGTACAAGTTTTACTGTAGTCCCGACATTCCGGACAGGAACAATGGTCGGGGGTGTGCCCGCACATTCCATCAGCGCTACAACACGGATTATCTCCATCAGGGTCACACCCCAGAGACTTGAAGCCGGAGGTTGGATTGGGGTTCTGGACAGAAGTTTCCCCTGCGCACTTTTTGTCTTCTTTCCAATCTTTTGAGTTTTCCCCTGGTCAATAACATATGTATGAGGGAGAACAAAAAATGTCCGAACTAAAGTTGCACGAGACAATGATTTAAAGTAAAGCCAACAAGAGTTTCACTTCAAAACATAATTGAGCAAAAACTTAATAAGCTTAATTAACTTAATTAACTCATACCTGTCTGATTGTAGCAACGGAGCCAAACACTATCCTTGTACTGACAGTTGTGTCGTGTGATCCTAGTGTCACACATAGATATGTCCGTGTCATTCTTCTTACAGCTTACAGCATCCATGATAAGTTGATTATAGAACCATGATCTGAGAAATACTATGTATTTAAACCGTGGAATCTTGTGTTAAACCGTTTAAAAACAAATGTATGAATGTTCCAACACCAAAGTGATAAAAAGCAAGTTAAATTCACATTGATATGCAACTTACTCGGGAACATATTCAATGTTTTTCGGAGAACTTCCCCATTTGGCAAAGAATTGTCCGAGAGAGCGACAAAACAGTTGAGCTGAAAGCCAGCTAAACCCGTCCTTACAAACAGTTCCATTCTTCTGCTCTCCGCTTCGCTTGTCAACAACCGTTACAATTAGAAGACCATCGCTTTTATTTTCTATTTCCTTTCCGCTCACCATGTTGACAAGAGTTGCTCCATGGAATTTCCAAACATGCTCTGAAATAAATAGTCGTGTTATAAATTTGTAGTGGAAAATTCACCATTCCAACATCAATGTGTAGTTTTCTCCTCCCATTTAACTGCAATGAATGACCAAGATTTTTCAAACTTACCGATGTAAAAGGAATCAGACGCTGTGTCATACTCATGTAAAAACGCTATCTTCGTAACATCTCGTGCCCAAAAAGTGTTCCAGTTATCAGTGTAGTCAGGATCATCACACGTTTCCAAGGAAACTGTCATATCCACAACCTGCTCGCCGTTACAATACAAAATGGTCCTATATCCTCGTTTTTCTATTGCCCATTTCTTATCTACTTCCACAGGTAGACCTATCAGATTCGTGTAGCTTCCACAGCCTAACAGTGAATACTGTATAGTTGATGTGAACCAGATGCCAATACCTCCTGCCATCCTGCCTTCCTCGTTAAAATAGACAATAAGGGTTTTCTCATCACTATCTGCAGTGCTGTTGGTTCTAAGGTGCAGGTAAGAAGTCTCCAGGTCAACATAGACGTCGTTGTCACGGACAACAGGATTCCACAACCCTGTTGATGCGTTTTTCAATAATCTTAATGAAGTATACATTTATAATTATCAGTAAGTTCTAAGTATGATTAGAAAGGTCAAGGAGTGTGTTGCAAAGAACGCCAAGTCTCTCATCCCTCCTAAAAAAGCAAAAACGAATAAAATGTTCAACAAACCTAATTGTGTTTCACTTTCATTGTCGGCAGTAATATTTCCAGATTTTGACTGCTTTGAAGTCTGACTGTTTCCTTGTGGGCAAACAATCAGGAGAATAAGGAATGCTCCAGTCTGCAACTTCATTTTCTGATGCTCCTCCTTTTAGTTCCACTTTTTTAGTCGAGAGCGTTATTAGATGAATTCCTACTAAAGAAATCGTAATGGTTATATTACAGCACAAATTTCACAAATTATACCGCCAATACCGCAAAGCAAATCAAACAAAACAAATAAATTGCCACATTTGCCTCAATGTTTCTTCCTACTTGTGCCTCTGTAATTACATCATACAAATCTCATACTTGAGCTTCGAAGCAGCATTGCCATGTTAGTGGCTATAAAACAACTCTTTGTATTGTTCCCGGTGCAATTCAACTAGTGAGAACTGAAATCTCTCGTCATATGAGCCGAAAGCTTGTTAATGCTTCAGTAACGCCAGTATTCAAACAACAATTGCTGGCAGCATAAAATACAGCATGACTACCATTAGCAAGGTACAAAATTCACAAAAATTATGAAGTCGATATCGCTCACAAACTCAAATTAATCTTTATCAGCTGTGCTCCTCTGAGTATATTAACGACTATAATTTATGCACTGAAAAAAAGAAGCTTTGAATGTTGTATGAGGGCTACAAAAGAAGCCACATTACAGTTACAGAAGGTGTCCTATGAGGCTTAAATGACGATGTGTGAACTATTGTTTTAATATTGAGATAAAGGACAAATGTTTGCTATCGTTATCTTTTCAGGATTTAGAGGACATGATGTTCGATTGTACTTTCATTGGCTTATATATCGTAGCACGCGAGCTTGTTATCCCAACCATATAATGCTTATGCGATCCGATATCGTATAGCAACACTCAACAGTTATATGAGTATAACCAGTGCGTGAGTGCGTGCCATGGGATCACGAAAGTTCCCGTATTGATCCCGGTACAATTCAACCAGCGAGAACTAAAATCTCCTGTCATATATGAACCGAAAGCTTGTTAACGCTTCAGTGACTTCAGTATTCAAACAACAGATAGTTACCAGCATAAAATACAGCATGACTACCATTAGCAAGATACTGATACAAAATTCACAACAATTATGAAGTCGATATCACTCACAAATTCAAATTAACTAGATCAGGCGATCAGCTGTGCTCCTCCCGGTATTTTATATAAATACCTCCCGGTATTTTAACGACCATTATTTATGCTCACCTGCTCCTCCTCCGTCACGACACAACAGACCAATTTGTAGTCATATTTGGATATATTAGGTGACGCAAAAACAGCATAACAATAGTTTTCACTTATGCTAAAGTTTCACGTCATCAGGTTTGATTTTAATTGGGATGCGAGGTGGTCTCCAGTGCGAGACAATATGTGTTCAGCTTGTTGGAGCCCACTTTCAGTGAAAACCGCCCCAATCATTGCCATGTTTTCTGGTATAAAAGGAATCATGTCAATTATTTTGACGGAGTCTTTAGAAATTCTGTAGAATGTAGACATATTAGGATGCAGTGAAACTATCGGACTACGATGCTACCCCATGTAATCCTAAATTTAGCCACAATGCTTACCACCTCTCAGAGTAAGGGGTCGTTCACAAATTACATAATCACTTTTCGACCCCGCCCCCTCCCCTCAGTCATTAAGTTATATGTGAACGACCCCTAAGGAGTTAGGAGTAAGATAACAGTTCTAGGGCGGGATCAAACAAATTAGCAAACTATCGTAATAATAAATCTCTCATTAGTTCATTTCACTTGCGACACTCGACGGTCGTGATATGTTAGCCGAACTCAAGATAATATTATAATATGAAAGTAAATCTAGCTAGACAAATCTAGAAACTATTTCCATAATTTTAGGTATTCCATCCAGCATCACAGCGTGAAACACTGATCTTTGTAAAGCTCTACAAATCAATAACTATTATTATCAAGAATTCGTACATAAACTGTATGGTATTCGAGCTTTTCATCTAGAAGTGAAACACATTCTTCTTAATATTAGAGTATTAAGATATCATGGAGCCACGGTATGGATGGGTATGATAAATGATTCAGAATGCATTTAATTCACAACTTTTAACTCGATTATATCAAACTGATCTGTGCATTATAAAACCTACTACTAACTCTAAATTCAGTGACATTCAGTCTCGGAGCATGCCAAAAAGCTATGATCAGGGGTCGGTAGTCTTAGGGAGTCTATTAATTCTACTATACCTCAACCACATGTTCATTATTTAGTCTATGATCTTATGATATTTTAAATTAGCATCATTTGCACATCAGGCACGGTTTACAGTTTGCAGAGCGACACAAGTATAATGATACAGTATTATGTTCATTCTTTTATACAAAGTAACACTGTAGAATTATTAACCAACCGTATGCATATCATTAAATGTATTTAGATTTAAACCCTTTGAACAGTTTGAATGAATTAAATCTATAGTTTAAAATATTCTGCTTTATTAAACCATGAATAGCGTCGTATTATATTAAAACATATATCATGGAATGTTTTATATCGAAGATATAAAACATCTTTTATAATATAAACTTTTATAATATAAAGCTGATATATAAAAGCTACTGGTGCTCGGTAGTCGGTAGGCGGAGAGGTAAAGTCTGGTAAATGTTTCTAAGCCCATTTAGTGGGCCGATTATCTGAACATTTTCAGGCGTTCCTGCATCATGATAAAGAATATTTTTCAAATTGTATACAGTAAATCAGAGTAATGTTAAACAGTAAATAAGAGTAATGGTATAGGAGTAAAACTGGATTACTGAGAACCAAGCCAAAACCCAGATTTAGTTGACCCTGGATCACACATGGTCTGCAAGGCGTTCAGGGCCCAGATGATGACCAGATGATGACCAGAAGTGAGAAGATCATGGCTCGAACAATAAGTCCAACCGCAGTCATATCTAAGTGGAACCGCTGCAGAAATATCCGATAACAAGTTAGCATTTCCATCACCTGGCATGTATAATTGCTTCTATAATCTTTCAACAATAACTAGTAACCTAGTAACCAGCTAGTTTCAGGCACTACCATACAGTTAGTTGTGGTTGACAGGGTATAGTCAGGCGGGTAACAGGGTCTAGCACACTGCACAGATGGTGTCTCCATAAACTGTTGCACATATTTACCGTTCTTTGATGTGATGGACTGTCCATGTTGGAACTCATAAATAATGAGAATGATTGGTGACAGGAGCCATGTGTTCCTTTGTTTCATGTGTTCGTGTTATATCCCCTGTACTATAGCCTCATGTCACATCATGGAATGCGAGGGCTGGTCCACGTTTGGTCACGTGATATGATGCAATGCTCTCTGTATTGGTCACGTGATATGATGAAATGCTCTCTGTATTGGACTGCCGGTATCTAATAACTTGATAGTTGAAACTGACACGATGCTATCGGAGCATGCCCCTTAGCTTAAGTATACCTCTTAAATCCTGATACTCTACTACGGATGTCAGGTATCGTGAGACTTAAGTCTGAATCTAGGAAAGTACAAATTGGTGGCATGGAATCGTCTCCGCAATACAAAAATCAGAGAAAAGCAGTTAAATAAATAGATAAAGTTATCCAGGAATCTAAATGAGGGTTGAAAACTCTGATGAATTTCTCACGACAACAGAAACCGCGCAAATAATACATACCTTACTTTGAGTGAGGAGGTATAGTGATATAATAAATAATTGTTCATTATTTGTCAATTAAAACAGCCAGGTTGTTGCCTCCAGCCTCCGCTAATTGCTCCACTGATTGGAGCAAGTCTGGCTTTGTCACTAAAATTCAGGACTTTTGTTTTTGTCTAATTTGTCCGTGGGTGAAGGGTAGAGGTGCTATAATTTCATGGCAGAAAGACAGACGCATCGCCAATAACGCGTGATAATGACATGACTTTCAAAACGTGATGTGACTTTTAAGACCGCAGGCACTTAACACTACACATTTACGTAATTAGTTTTTAAATTATTACAACACTACAAATCTGTTATATTTATTGAGTCAAAATCATTGAAAAGATGATCTGCTAATAACTGTCTGAAGCCCGTTAGATAGTCAAACTTTTATTGTTCATTCTGGATTCTTAGTCTAGCTCCAGGGATGAAGAGATTCATTTTGAGAACCAAAAGTCAAACTTATCTTTTAAACTTTCATAAATTGTTAATTTTGGAGATGATTACATAATAAATAGTGATAGTCAGCAAATCTTATGTATCGACAGCTGCGGAGGTCAGTTTGGTATTAACTAACAGGTAGTTAGAATATTGTAATAATACTTAATAGTAATAAATTATGTTTATGACACTATAGTTAAGTGAAACTTATGGGGGGGGGGGGGGGGGGGGGGGGCCGGGGGGGGGGGGGGGGGGGGGGGGGGTCCAACCCGATGTCCGATATGAGGGTTGATGAGGCCAAAATCGGAATCGGAAAAATCGGAAAAATCGGAAAATTGAGAAATTTACTGAATCAATCTCTAAAAGCTCTCAGAAGTGATATAATTTAACCAGAACCCCTACATATGCTATGTATGCTGTATGAAAACGAACCAATTGGACATTCCAATAGTATGTTTTATGTGTATTTCCACTGCAGGGGCTAGTATGCTCACTACTAGTTGGAGTTGTCATGTACTCCCAGACCCGAGTGCTTTGGCCTCTTGACGTGAGATAGATTGTTTCTGCTCATTAATTTATCCCTGTTACTTGTTATTATGTATTAGTACAACACTAGGTACCGGGTTATATTTTGTGGTCCGGTCTTTAAACATACCATAATATCACTAGTACACTGCACCTTAAATGTATAGTCAAGTACATTTGTATCGTAACACATGCTTGGCTGGGGATCATGTTTTGTGTCTGTTCGGTACCCTGTAATTTCAAAACGGACTAAAAGTAGGGCGGACAAAAACGGACAAAAACAGACAAAACATTTAGATGTCCTCCTCCCCCTCCCTAGTCTTCCTCCTCCTTCTCATCAGTCCTCCTCCTTCTCCTCCTAAGTCTTCCTCCTCCTGAGTCCTTCTCTTCCTGAGTCCTCTTCAGTCCTCTTCCTGACTCCTCGTCCTCCTCCTCCTCCTCCTCATCAGTCCTCATCCTCAGTCCTCCACTAGTCGTCCTCGT